GAAAGTATGGTTGCAGATGGCTTGCAGTTTCTGCAGGGTACATCAGGAGGAAAACCTGTAAGTTAGTGTACTGTCATTAAATGTCATGAAATGATTTAGTCTACTTCATATATACCTTTATCCTGGGTGTTAGTGTTTTTTTTTTTGTTTTTTTTTTCGCACATTGAAGACCCTACATTCACAGAGTGTCGAAGTTGTATTATACTATTGTCATTTTCTAATGGGGTTTCTGAATCATCACAAGAATTTTCAATACCTCAAGGAGCCTTATAAGCATTAATTTTTGTAATTTCACTTAGATTTAGAAACCTACATAGAAAACTATGACTAATACATATGAAACATTTAACACAAAAATAAAATACGAAATGTACTGTTCTAGTCGACCTTACACTACAGTGTACAGTAGACCTTAGTTTAATTGACATCTACATGTACATCTATAAAGTGCACTTTCATAATTATTTGTTTTCTTACATTTTCTTAGGTAAATGGGATGAAAGGTGTTTGCCAGTTTGCAAGCCTTAAACACTATGATATCAGTAAAGGTGTTTGCCTGGATTACATGCATGGGGTCCTGCTGGGAGTTACACGACAATTGATGGCCCTGTGGTTTGATTCAAAACACAAGGACCAACCTTGGTACTGTGGTGATCGTGTCAGTATTATTGATGAGCGTCTTTGTAGTATCCATCCACCCATGAATATCACAAGAACACCCAGACCTATTGAAACTCATCGCAAGTATTTTAAAGGTATAATATCCATTAAGTCTACATATGTGATAGATGAGCATACAGTCGTGTACTGTTTAAAGTAGGCATGTTTTCTTGTAATACATATACCCTATGGTTCTTTTTTTTTTTTTTCACAGCAACCGAATACCGAAATTGGCTGTTTTACTACAGCGTTCCTTGCCTGGTTGGTGTTCTTCCCGATGTTTATCTTCACCACTTCATGCTTCTTGCATTTAGTGTGTGGCTGGTGAATCAGCAGACTATTTCACCAGAAGAAGTCAATCAGAGTGGAAACCTTCTGGCAAAATTTGTGATGCTGATGGATGCCCTCTATTGTGAGTATTTAACTGCTTCATTTGGGCCTCCATGCATTAACTTTTGTTGAGATCAATGTATTTGTCAATTAATAGTTAATTATTTTGACACCATGGTGGCTTTTACAGCTAGTGAAATGGGGTGTTTGCATTTTTTTTTTTTTTCAGCTGAGCGTCATATGACCATCAATATCCATAATTTGCTTCACATACATGCATCAGTTCACAATCTTGGACCACTGTGGGCAAATTCAACTTTTGACTTTGAGGATGCAAATGGGGAGTTAACTGCGCTTTTCCATGGCACCCAGAACATAGATATGCAGGTGATCAAAATAGCAAGAATCAATAATACTGTGCTCATAAAATATATATTTGAAAGGTATCTAAAAGCAAGTCTAATAATTAATTTACTCATTGATCAATAAGATGTATGGAAGGATTCTTTTGATCTTTTGTAGATAGCATCCTCAGTCTCTGCAGTCAAAATTGCTCCAGACCTTGCGCGGAAATTGGACAAAGACTCTCCTAGTTACAGTTTGTACAGAAGGATGAAATTTGGAAAAGAACAGAAGTATGTATGGCAGTAGTATGTTTCAAATACTATATTGATTTAGCTTTAAAATCAATAACAGTGACGTGTTCATAGTCCATAAGACTCAAAAGTAACATGATTCTAACCCTGTTAATACCTTAGTTTAGTTCGTTCTTATTGGTCGATATACATTAAGCCATTGGTAAAAAAAAAAATTGATATATTTTTTTTTATGCATTTAAGGTCAACAAAGCTTGAGGATGGAGTGCATTTACTTGGTGCTTTTACTGACTTTGAGGTCCCAGAAACTATAGAGCAGCATATCAAGGATTTCACTGGAGATTTGGCTCTGGGAAGATGCCAGAGTTTTAAGAGGGCAATCATTCGTGGTGAAGTATTTCACTCTAAATCATATGGCCGTGTTTCCAGAAGAAACAGTTACACTGTAACCTATGAAGACAGTCAGAAGAGGAGGGAATGTGGTCAAATACAGTATTTTGTGAAACATACACCCATTTGCCAACGTGCTTGTATTGCCTTATGCCAGTGCAACAAAGATCAACACTTTGCCATTGTTGTGCACATGGAACCATTAAGAGATTCTAACCTTCTGGAAAAAGCTGGAATTGAAGGAATCCAGAAGCAGCTTCAGATCATGCAGAAGCCAAGGTACACAAACATGTCAAATGTCCTATCTGTGTTTAAACCATTGGATAAATTAATTGTGCAGTTAAGTTTTTGCTTTTGGAAAATCTTTTTTTTTTTTAATATCACACTTACATACCAAGCATCAGAATTTGTTTGATCCGATTTCTACCAACCATCCAGATAATGGGTCTCCTAATAGCTACGGTACAATTGGGCAGTTGGAGTATTGAAACATCAGAACACAAGATGCGTCATGTATTTACTGTTGATGACTATATAACCACTACACTGTCACAATCATCTATTAATGCAATAATATGTCAATGCAGCAACTTTGCTAACTTCACAGTGTACGTTGAAATAAGAACTTGGATCAATAGCATTATCCAAGGGTACAAATTATTGTTTAAGAAATACAAATATACCTGTATATAAATGTAGGTTTTGGTAATAAAACAAAAGAACTTAATTACTTTATGGCTAAAAGATGGACAGCGATATTGAGATCTTTTGTTTTGTTCCGCATCTTAAAAATGGCCTCATTTTGTATTTCCTACCTCATTTTCTTTTTTTATTTCTTTCAGAATGGAAAATGTTGATGTCATCCCAATCAGGAACATCTTACATAAATGTGTTTTTATAGATGTTAAGGATGCTGATGATTGTGTTTATGTGACCCACTTCCCGAATTTCATTGAAACAGACTGAAACAATTGGAGCTGGAAATTGTTGTGTGATACCTTTAATTAATGTAAATATATGCATATGCAAAAAAAAGTATGTACATCAATAATTTGGACTATGACTGAAAAATAACTCGATCGGTGCTCAAACTCGCTCTGTGACATATATTGTAATATTTATTAAGTCAATAAGGCTCCCCCCCGGCCCCCCACGTCCCCCCACTGACACTTGCTAGTTTTCTAGGGTTTCATTTTTTTTAATACTCCCTTCTGGTGCCATCAAGTATATGTCACATGTATGTTGAGTGGTCCCAAGTGCCTTTTATGCATGCACATTAATTAATATATATATAATCATACTGCACTTCTACATGTATGTCACATATATGTTAAATTATCCTGAAAGATATTACATATATGTAACATATATGCATGGTCATTTCAAAACTTTTACATATATGTCACATATATGTCTTATCATCCTATGAGATATTACATATATGTAACATATATGTATAGGCACTTCAAAACTTCTACATATATGTCACATATATGTACAGTTATTTGACATATATATGTTACAGCTACATATACGTCACATATATGCAACATATATGTGGTTTTGGTAAGGGAAGCACTGTTTATTTCACAGGGTGTTTCACATCCATGAAAGTTTCACATGGGTTTCACATGAACTTCCTATAGGTTTCACAGGGTTGCTCCCAGTAGTGAATTCAGGGGTTCATGGAGCTAAAATATTTATTGAGCACTTTATTACCCACTTCCCCATTTTCAGCCACATATAGTTGTTGTTGTCCTTATTTTAAGACTAAACTAGGAAATGTTGATTAAGTGGTGCTCAAGCTACATTCATTCGCAGCATCCGTACACATCCAAATCCATTATTTGTGTTGGGGTGTGGTACACAATTTGAACTTGAAAACTTGAAAGCCTACAGCACATCAGAATTGGTGCCTCAGGTTCACAGTTTAGCCCCAGAAGAAATATTTCCATCTAAAGAAGTCTTGCATCCAGAGTGACACCTCTGAAAGGATCGGGCCTCAAAGCATCCGTATTACAGAAGACATCAAGCGCCAACTCAAACAAATCCATTTAAATAGATGTAAGGAACAACTTGGTGTCAACATTTAACGTTAACATCTGCCTTGTCTGCTGTTTAGGTTGAGTTTATCTCACTTGGGGCCTACATGTACAAGTTCTGTACCTATGTTCCATAGTTTAAACTACTGATTTTCGTTACATGACAGTGATCAGTAAACATCTTATTCTAAAAACATCATTGATTTGTTAAACTTACATTAACTGACGAATCTTTGAATAACAGTGTAAGAAATAATTTTCTCCTGTTTATACCAGGGACGAACTTAAGTTTGGAAGTAAAGTGCATCTTGCAGATCAATTTGCCATTGTGTACTAGCATTGTTACAGACAAGTGCAGTTAGTAAGAAAAAGGAAAGCCAGAGGTCAACCCTATATTAAGGATTTCCTAAACGAACAAAGAAACATGTATATAAATATAGCAATAAAATATGTACATTAGGGACCGGTCATTATTTATCGCCTGGGGGGGGGTCGGAGTATTTTTGTTGTCACATCGGAGCATTTACCTGATCCCCCCGTAAAGTATCTAGTTTTTTAAAGATCCCCCCTTATTGGTAGTGGAAAGTTTCATGATCTCCCCCTCCCCTTTCTCCCAGCCACCGCCAAATAACTTTTTGAATATGCAAGTGATATCTTTAATAGTGGTACTTACGTCTCATGGACCTTGAACAACAACGGTAGATATTTGCTCGTCAGATACGAACTGAATTGTCGCGGAAGTGCCAGTCTCTGGCTGTTCATCCAAATCCACGAAAACATAGTCATCGTCGCTCTCTGCCTCTTCACTTTCGGATTCTTCATCCTCGGATTCCACGTCATCTTCATCACTCGACAGTTCTTCTGTTATCACAGTCTCTTTATTCTGTCGGTAATAGTGACATCGAATGGCATTAACTTTGTCAAGTTTCCGACCCACAGTCGTCAAACCATGCTTGTTGAGATACAGGTCTAGTTCTCTTACCCGCAACTTTTCAACTTTGCCACCCTCGACGAGGTTATCCCATTGAAAGTCCTTGTACGTTCGTTCGGCCTCTTGCCTTCTTTGCTCCTCAGCTGCTCTTGTTCTCATGTCCTTTTGGATCTCAATATCCTTCAAATGATTAACATATGCAATGACGTGCTTCTCTTCCACATTATATTTTGAGCAGAAGCTCTTCATGGTATCCTGATCGTTTCTGATACTGTCAGAATGTTCCTCGTACAGATATTTAATACATTTTCTTGGAAGGTAATCATCTGGTGTCCTGCCCGTCGATTCCGTCTGATAGATATCCATGAAATGTCCAGGATTGTTTGAGTCTGGTACAGGTTGCGGAATTCTTTCCGTTTCTGGACCGACCCATCTATTGTTAGAACACCAGGAACGGAGATTGGAACTTTCTTCTCTTGACTCTTTACAGGCATCACGACAGAATTCCATAAAAAGTTCTCCACGAATATAGTGGTCTTCCATAAACGATTCGATCTTTCGGAAGTATGCTCCACCGGGCACTTGCTCTTTGTTTCGTTCTGATGCACCCCGATAGTTGTCGAGGTAAACAGAATTGAAAAAGAATAATTCATCAGGGGACTCGCTTACTTTGCTCTTGATGTAATCTTTAAGGACAGGGGCATCATCAATTCTCTCGGCTACCTGACTACAGACATACCAGGCATTTTTCTCCATCCGTTTCTTTTCGTAGTCTTCGTATGACTGGAGAGACAGTTGTTTGATTTCCTCTTCTGAAAGATCCTCAAACCTCCTATATTTTTCCCACTCTAGAGTTGCGCCATCCACAAGAGCATCAGAAATTGCCGAGTTTGTCCTTTCGGCTTCACCTTGCCCGCTGTCGCCCCTCGAACGATGACATCGCACTCTATAATCGGAATTGTGAACCCTTGCTAACTCGGCGTCTCGAAATCTAACTTCGTAGTTGGAAACTCCTACGGCCGGACCAGCATCTGTAAGGTCAGACCATCGTGGCTTTACAGGTGGAAGGCAGAGATCTCCGAGAACTTCTAGACCATGTTTACATGAACTGGTTACCCTTAAAATCCTGTCCTTTCTCGCATCTTTTTCCATTGAATCGACTTCCTCTTTAAACAGATCATCAATGGCATCTAAAATGCGTTTCGTGACTGGTATTATCTGACTAGCAAACAGAGCCCTATTGTGCTCTGACATTTCTGTGTCTTCGCAAAACTGCAACAAATTGTCAATCCTTAATTTCAAGTGCTCTGCTCTCTCTTTTTCGTAAGTGAAGAATTTACAGTTACTTCCTGTTTCTCCGGATATTTTGTCTAGGTCATCTGACTCTGTCATACCATAATAAAGAAAGAGGTCATCGTGTAGTCGCGCGCAGCATTTACGAAATCCCAGTGAGTACTGTGGACTGCCAGGTGTCGGTTCGTCAACCTCAAAAGCTGATGGATCCTCATGTCGCAAACAAACTGTTTCGCTGGCCCATACAGTGCCTGACGATCCCACTATTGCTTTGGGCCGGACAAATACGTAGTGGCGATCGTTCTCAGTTATCAGCTTCTCTTCAGTTTCATTCATTACACTTGACTTCGTAAAAACACGGTGAGAACCCGGGGTCACATATACCATTTTCTCAGGCCAGTCGTACTTTGGCAACTTCCTTGCTTTAGTGTGATCTGATAATGTTAAGATCTAAGATTTCTGGCTTTGTCAAAACCTTCAGATGTACCTGGTCTAAGGAAAGCCTTGTCATCGGTGCTTCTCATGAAACAAAACTTTCTCGCGCTGGAATTTCTCGCACCCCAGAATCGTCTTTTTATGTTTGTTACGTGTGCTCGTTGGTAGTGAGTGTTTTCGTTTGTGTTTTCTTCGCCTTTTGGTGGCTTTTTCCAACAGAATAGCCCTTTGCCATAATGGCGCTTCGCTTGGAGACTTCTTTTGTTTCTCGGTCTCGCCCTGTTGTATACTGTTGTAGCGGATTGAATTAATTTCTTCCCACGTTGAGCTAGTCGGTAGTTGGCAATTGAAAGAAGGTTTTTCCTCTTCACCCTCTGGCCGGTATAGAGGACCGTATCATGCCGTCTACCATGATAGGATGATTTATCCTCAATTGCCTTTGCAATGAAGTCTTCATCTTCCTCATCTAGCTTTGGCTTCGGACCTTGGTTTGACAACTTTCGCCTCTTCAGTCGATTAGATTCGATAAGGCTTGAAGCTTGGCGCTTGAACATTTGGCGTTTTCTCTGATAATTGCTTTCGGTGGGCTGGCTGTGAAGAAGCCCCTCCGTGTCTTCAACTTTTTCCTTGAGTTTTTGTACTTCGCTTTGGATTTCTTCTAACGTTTTGGATGACCAAATATTTGTTTTCTTTTGAATAAGGTGTTCCTTCTCTTTCGTCTCCTTTTCCAGCTTTTCCTTCTTGGAATTTAAGCGCAACCTAACGAGGTCGGCTGCTGCCTCATTAGCATTTTTTACCTCTTCAACAACGAATTTAACTCTCTCCATCATAGACGGAAGATTGTCAGGATCAAAGCCTAGGGCTGTCATTTCTTCTCTAGAGAATATGGATCGCAATATAACTCTAAGACAAATTTTATCCCATTCTGAGTCCATAGTAGTAACGATACCTTGCAGGGTTTCCTTATCGAGAACAAGAGCACTATGTCCACTTTTAGTACTACAAGCACTAAAAATATCCAAAAGGAATGACTCTAAATCGACTTCGTCAGGACGGAGCGCGACATACTCAAAACCCTCAGTTATACGAATGATATTGATCCTGAGACCATGTTTTTCATGAAGTAAAGCTTCGCGAAAGGCAACTCTCTGATATTTTGACGGTGCCTCAGAGTGATGAGGTTCAAACGCAAGAAAGTACTCTAATGCTTCTTGAAAGGGGATTGAAGACCTAATTCTTGTCTTAGCATTGGCATCTTGCACCGGAAGAAATAGTTGATCGAAGACATAGAGCAGACCTTGAAACTTGTGCTTCTTTTCCTCTGAAATTGCTCTCGATAATTCTTCTTCTATAACATGCCTATTTTGCTCTAGGGTGCAGCTTTGTTGCGATGCTACAATCTCCATTATCTTTTTTCCCTGAAGTAGTTAAAAGGTGACTTCGTCTTAGATCGAGAAACTCACAGTTTTACTAGATCTATGGCCTTGAGGAATGTATCTTAACGATTCACCCAGATACAATTTTCTTTCATATTTCTTTGGAAAATATCAGGAAAGTATAGGTGTGCAACAACTGCAGACTAGACTGCGCGTGACTCGATCGACACCTAATAGCGAGCGACGAAACCTTGAGCCACGATAAACGTCGGTGCGGTCTCGCTAAATTCTCCCCTCTTTTGTACCCCAATTTGCACATTTTCTTTTTACTTTTCCCGCAATTTATCCTGAAACGAAATCCCGGTATTGACCGGTGTATTCAGTTTGTGACGCACGCTACTGGATAGTGATTTATCCGGTGGATAGCGTTATCCACCCTTTGAACAACTGGGCCCAGGTTATAGGGTGCTGGCGGTAAGTTCTCCATAATTAATTTGGATTCTTTTAGCATTGTATTGTTTTATCAGGGTAGAGATCCACCGGTTCGTTGTCGCTTAAAAGAACGCTCAAATTAAAGTAGCGAGATTCGTTTGAGTTTGGATTTTGGCAACTGTTTTCTCTACAAGTTCCGTTTCTTTATAACGTCGCGTCAATTTTCTTCATCAGTTTGAAATTAAAAAACACACCTTTCGCATTATTTATTTTATTAGAAAGTATTTTTCCTTCACTTTGCGATAATTTAAATCGCGTCAATTTCTAGTAAGTCCGCTGGTTTATAGTCTGCATTTGACGCACGCACGAGGGAGCGCCCACAATTTTTTTTCTTCCGCTCGCTTCGCTTGCGTCACGTTCTACATTTCCGTTTTAATTTAATTGTATTAATTGTAAGCATAGTTAAATATTTAACACTGTTATTTACCTCTGATCTGCAAATTATAGGGTTGTCTTTCAGATGCCGGGAATAACCCTATCTAAATTATAGTGAACACAAATACCAGGATTTGCAGTCTTTAAATACAAAGAATTAATGTCCGCGTCGTTTCGATGTTTCAATGTTAATGATTACTTGTACTATTGCATGCATATTTTATTGTTTTATTTCTCACCAGTTTGAGCGTAAAATAATGGACCAGTATCACGAAGAAATTGCCGCGTTTTCCTTCATGATGATTTTAGTAACATCGAAACGTCAGACAACATTTACTAGCTTTTACATTTTTACGAAGACTGCAAAGCCATCATTTATTTACCTGGTCATTGTCGATATCTGATACAAGCCGCTCAGTTCTCGCCCTTCGCTCGCTCCGCTTTTCATTATGGCATCGTTTATGGGTACTTCCATCACTTAAATCCAAATGCTTTCCAAGCTGATCACCATTATCGTCCATATTGCTAAGCTTTTCTGTCATATCTTCCATTCTTGCTCAATTACAATGTCTGAAGTCCAACTGTCGGGAAATCTTCTCAGTGCGCTTATTAAATAATGCTTTGTTGTTGTGACGTCCTATTAACTAACATCGTTGTGACATATTACCTTGAACTTTATTTTTTACATATTAACATATAAAACTTACCTTTAGCCGAAACGTGGGCTCGTTTAATTGCGCTGATTTGCTTTCATTATTTTTTCAATGGATAAAGAAATTGACTATCTTTTAACAAAAGCTGACTTGAGCAATTACACAGACAATTTTAAACAAATTGGTGTTGCAAAGGTCGAGCATTTCCTGGACGTTGATGACGAAACTCTTGAGCAAGACCTTGGACTAGCGAAGATACAAACTCGCCGTCTGAGGCGTTTCTTCGCTCAGATACAAGGCGAATCAAAGCAAAGAGGAACAAGCAGTGAAGGTATTGAGTTATCGTTTCTTAGATGATTATTTTGAAGGCCTCTATAAAATGATTGGCTTGTGCTTCAAACCAGCCATGAACAAAAAACGTAAGGCAACATGGTGCATAATTTGTAACGCAATCCTTAACAAACATTTATAATGTGATCGGTAGGTGTTACGTCCGCCAGTGCCCCCAAGAAGCGCAAGCAGGCGATTTTGTCATTTGGACACTCCGGGCAGCTACAAGTCCTGAGGAACGACTCAGCACCAGAAAAGAAGCCGTGGGAAAAATATCTCCTTCCCAACCCAAACACAGAAAGGCTGAAATTCTACAATAGTGTTGTACCGCAGATTTATGAATCTTCATTCGTGAGTAAACAAGCCGGTTTCAAACAGTATCTCCTCGAGCAACAGCAAATGCGTTGGCAGTTAAACACAAAGATAAAAGCCCTTTCCGATAAAGAAAACAACTTGCTTAGAAACGAGAATTGGGGAGTGTGCCAAAACATCACGAAGTTCATGTCAGGCGTGGATGGATGTAAGGGCAGTGGTGATGTCGCGAAGTGTGAGTCCTCCTTGACCACTGTCAATGAGGACTTTAATTCAGCATCCGATTTGCTCTCATTTATCGACAACAGACAAAAGAACCTTTATACAGAAGAGCATACCTTAAGGCCGTTTGCAAGTGATGAGCTCAAATATTTCCAGGAAGCTCAAGAGCGAGTGAAGGCCTTACACCAAGAGCTGCAGAAAGCCTCCAATGCGCTCACGACCACCCTCATGAGCTTGAAGAGAAAGTTCCCATCTCCCATGGGGAACAACGGTCTATCCCGAAGAAAAAAAGAAAACAAGAGAAAAGTGAAAAAAATCAAGGAGAAAAGGTTACGTCAGCGAGCAGCAATTCTCCTAGAAAAACTTACCTCAAAAGAGGTAGCTAAAGAGGTTTTCGATTCACTCGAAAAGACTACTTACAAATGTGTCTCAAGTATTAATGCAGGATTCACTGCGAGATTTGTCAAGCGTCTCCACCTGGATCCTCTGCTATGGCTTTTGGAAAGAGGCGTGTTTGAAACAGAGCTGGCACGCAATTTGAAAGTGGTAGTGGCCAGAATGAACAAAGAGAATAGCAGTAATGGTGCTGAAAGAGGGTCAAGTTCGGGCGAGGATTCCGATGAATCTGACGTGGAGACTGTGCAAGAGCCAGTGGAGAGGGCTGCCGAAGATTCTGACACGGAAGCGGAACAAGATACAGCCTCACCAAAATAAACACTTTTATTTGTTGTTTTCATTCGGCCGCGTATTAAAATAATGAACGTTTCTGATTTTAGATTACGATTCTCTATAAAACAAACTGAAACGTCATGAAACAATTTTGAGCAATTGTAAGTATTCCATTCTCAAAATCTTGATTACCTTTCTAATTTCAATAGATCGTGCCTGATTAACAACGTGTATGTTGGACTACGATAGTGATACTTTTTTTGCAAAATGGAGGGTCTGTAAAAGGGTTTGGGTTTTGTGTCTGGGCTAGAATAAAGTTTATATAATACAAAATACAACTGAACGTGGTCTTGAATATATGGTTGGGGGTTTAGAGTCCTAGCGGCAAATCCTACCAAAGTATTTACAAATGCACTCACCCGGGGTCCCGGCGCGACCTAAAATTCCTTTTTTTTTTCGTCTGATCCCCCCCATTATGCTTGTCAATTACGGCTGATCCCCCCTAAGGGTCTTCAAAAAACCATGTGATCCCCCCCTAAATACTCCGACCCCCCCCCAGGCGATAAATAATGACCGGTACCTGATTAAAAAAAGGTTGTCATTTGAAAGGATAAACCATAAACTATGAGACCCAAGGGCTTTATGGGTATAAGTATATAATGAATAGACCAATTCCCATATAATAAAATTCATACTTGGCTGCGAGGCCTAGGGAGTAAAACAAAAGAAGTCACCTCGAGGCTCAATAATGAATAATACATTTCTTTAGTTTTCTTACCTCACCCCCTTGGAACCAAGTAAGAAGTTTAATATATCGAAAATAGTCTATTACATTTGCATATTTTGTTCTCTTGTGCGGGCCGTGTTGCACGTGGTGAACTATGGAAACTATCCAAGCTTTTATGAAGGTGTTCAAATTGGCCAACAAGGGCCAATTTGAACGGTATACCATACATGACTTGGCGAAGTTTGTATCAATCAACGAATTTAAGAAATATTTGGTTGCAAGTTAGTCTGAAGAGTTAAGTCCCGCTTCTACTTGGTCTTCTTTAACTATCGACTACGAGTGAAGGATGCAGAAAATGCGACATAAAAACAGACAAACAACTAGAAGACGCCTACAAAAGTATTAAAAATGGGTGGATCACCCTATGGGTGGATACACAGTGTCGTGAAACCCAAACAAGACAAGAAAGAAATAAGGGAAGGTCAAGCAAAAAGGAGGAAAACTTCAAGTATGATTTAATAACTAACTTGCTTGTTTGGAGTTTGACATTTCAAAAATGCACCAGTAACAAAGTTGCTAACCTTGTGTTTATTGTAAACAATGTTTTTTTTTCCAAAGTCTATAATGCAGGCCACCCTATCGACGGCGGAGACAGTATGGAGGAGGACGATCAAGACTTCTACGAAATAAGACTAGCACGTCTGCGAGAAAAGCATGGAGGAGGCATAGCAGACTTTAAACTAATATGCTGGGCAAGAATGTTGGTAAGCTCAGAAAATATAATAACATCAACGCTAAAATTTCATGACATTTAATTGTAGATAAAGAAAGAGGAACTGTGATAAGAAAGAAAAATGATTGCTCTCTAATATTTGATTTCACACTTGTAAACTTGCCGATTTTAAATGTACGTGCGTGCGTTTGAACACTTTTGTTTGTCATCGTACTGGGACGGAAAAGAGTATTTTATGCCTTTTCATGGGGAGGAATAAAGCGAGCTGCTCCGCAACTTCAACGGCAACATCAAGCTCGACAATTTCAGGTGCTGAGGAAAAGGTATAATTCTCTAACGTGTTACTCCAATATTCAAGAAAAGAGCGCATCTAATTAAAATTAAGGAAAACGATTTTCGTTGTCGCTGTATTGCTGTGATTAATTGCCTTTTAAAATCGTGCGTTGTGAGATCCATGAATTTGAAAGGTCACACATCAAGTTTTCTGAGCAAGACGGAACTGCAAGCATTACTAATGTAATTTTTTGTCTACAGCTCTGCTTTGTTGCGAATGATGTATGGCAGCATTGTCTGTAAACCAAAACCACAAAAAAAATTAGTACTCTTAATGAAGTCGAACCTCTGCTAACGGCCACCTCCGTACAACGGCTACATAATTTTTTCGTTCTGGAGGACAAAAAATCCATACATTGACTCTACAGTTAAACCTCGCAACAGCGGCAACCTCCTTAAAACGGCCACGTTCTTCTGTCCCCAAGGTGGCCGTTGTAATGAGGTTCAACTGTGCTTAGATCGCGCTTACTACTTTGAACGCACAAGAAAATATCATACCCATTATAACAACCGAGCGCGGGTTAACACCGTCAAACGGCAGAAGATTCGGAACAAGCCTCTCATTTACAAATTGTAGAAATACATCTCCATTTGTTGTTCCACAGTGAATTCCAATTTCTATAAATCCTTTTGTGCAGATGATAGGTGTTATGCATATGGTTGTTTTTACCATATTTAGCAGTTTATAAGTTTATGTAAACTAGGATGCATCTTACATGAACGAGGCATTAAAAGCATGGCATCTGCTACGTTGCCGCGCTGTGTTAAACCGGACATGGTGTCAGAAGTTTATGCTTATTTTACCGCAAGCTACATACCCTCAACAAGAGAAGTCCAGTTTACAGTCAGCGAAAGTGGTTCCGGGCATAGCGGACCAATTTTCAAGCAAATTCAAGCGACTGAGAGCATCTCAAGCCGTTTAGTTCACTGGACCACGTGTGAGCATAGAGCAACGCAAGCATCTCCTGAAGCGGCCCACCACCAGTTCAAATAATCAGTGTTCCTTCAAATTTTCCAGTACCAAGCGCTATGGTTTGCAAAGGCGATCTCACCAGTAACTGGGAATTTTTTAAGCAACAATGGCAGGATTACCAAGTGGCAACAGCATTGGATCAAAAGAGTCAAGCGATTCATGGTGACCTTTCATTCAGTCATGGGAAAAACCTGTCTCCAGATCTTTCTTAATGTTAACTTTGCGATGAAGAAATTACGATCACGTCATCGTTGTCTGCGCTAGAAGATTATTTTCTTCCTAAACGAAAGGTAGTGTACGAAAGGTATGTTTTCAATTCCTATATTCAAACACCTGAAGAAACTGTTGACGGCTATGTTAATAGGTTGAGGAAACTAGCATCCTCTTGTCAGTTTGGAACACTCACCGAGGAGATGATTCGTGATAGGCTTGTCACTGGCATACAAGATACCGGCACAAAAGCTAGATTGAGGGGGGCATTAGGATTTTCGGTTTTGGCTATTTTTAGATCGGTTTTTCGGTTTTTGATGCAAAAGACTTCGGTTTTGGTGGTCATTGCGGTTTGCTGATTTTTCGTTTTTTAGCATCTGGTTTTTGGTTTTCGTCCCGATGTGGTTTTTGGTTTTTCCTATTTTATCCTATTTTGGGTTCCGGTTTCTGTTCGATTTGAGCAGCACTTGCTGCGAAACGCTAAAGTTATCTAGAGGAATGCGTGACAAAATAAATGTCATGGTAGGGGATCAAGCGTCTCCACTGACGCCCGGCGAGACTTTGACCTTGCAGACCAGGGCGACCATTTGGTCAGTTTGCGAGCTATGGCTTCCAACGTACCTCCAGCGCCAGTAACGAAAGAAGCAATTGTGGATTGTGTTGCGTTTTTTTATGAGGAGGGAAAAGGCAGCGAGAATTTTCGAAAGAAAAAGTTTAGATGTAAAGTGAAAAGGGAAGAGAGAAGCCTGCACAAGCTTAAGAATAGTGTTTCGTAAGTCAATCGACAGTCATTAATGTCATTATGCAGTGAAACCTGTATTAAGCGGACACTGTATTAAGCGGACACCCTCTATTAAGTGGACAATAGACGAAGTCCCAAAATTTATTTCCCTTATTTACTTTAAATGAAACCTTTATTAAGCGGACACCTCTATTAAGCGGACGCGGACACCTAAAAAGTACGTGAAATAGTCATTTCTATTGTAACCAACCTGTATTAAACGGACACTTGTAATCAAATTCCACTACCCAACATGCCAGATACCGGAAATGCGAAAGATTACCTCGAATTGCCACCCACAACTTTTTCGATTTTTACATTAAAAAACGTTACTTGACGAACTTATTTGATTAGTTCCACAGTACAGTATTTTTTTTCTATTTCGTTTTGTTTGTATAGAGCTTGTTTCACTCATCTGATTTCTTCAAATTTGAGTTGCAATCTATGTTTATGGTACTATGACCAATCGGTCCACTTTGCTAAAGAAATTAACGCAAACGTATATCGTCAAAGTCTCTGGGAGTATTCTTAACATTTCCACTGTTCCTTTGAATAGCATTTGACATCTCATATGACGTTATCTATTGAAACCTGTATTAGGCGGACACCCTGTATTAAGCAGACACTACAGCATTCCCCAAGGGTGTCCGCTTGATACAGGTTTCACTGTATTTACATTACAATGGCTTAATCACTATAGTTTATCCCATACATAAAGCTCGTTTACGAAGACTTAATGTCCCTAATAGTCCTAATACATTGAGAATACGCAATATCTAAGCATAGAAGATCGAAGAGAGGTTAAGATCAGAGACTCTGTTCACAGGGTAATCAAACACGTTGCACGTTAGACAATCGAGTCTCCAAACTTTCAGGTGTTAGTTATCAAATGGAAATGTTCGATTAGAGATTTTCGATTGAAGTTTCCAGAGCTATAGCTTCTTGCGACTGCAAAATTGCAATCCTAAAGAGAACTTGTGTGCAAATTCTCCTATAACTAGCGGCTTTTCGGAAATTGAGCCGCAAAGTCTGGGCTCGAGAGAGCGGCAGAAACAAAGCCTATGATTTAACAGAGACAAAAAGATACGAAGGCTTCATACAAAGTCCATGACATTCACAAATACTTTGGTGAAATTAGTGTTAGTTTAGTTTGCTCTGTATGCCCCACTTGTCACCATTGTATCGGTTTTTGACGGTTTTGTATTCGGTTTTCGGTTTTGGCCGAATTTTTTTGCGATTTTGCGGTTTTGGATGATTTTTTCCTTCAGTTTTGCGGTTTCTAATATAC